GAGGAGGAAGGCCACACTAGCTGGCAGGGGGCTGGGGCGCCGTGTGGCACTGTGACATGGGTGTCTGCCTGGGTCCGTGGGGGGAGGCCTCTTCGGAAGGTTCAGCGAACCTCCCGCACACCCTCAGGAACAGCCTGCGCCCTGACAAGGCTGCTCGGCTTGGCTGGAGTGTCGTCCCGGGGAAAGGCTGAAAGCTCCCACTTCTGCTCTAGCCGATGTTCACGTCTGCACAGGCCTCACTCCGCTGGGTGTTTGGCGTAGGCCTGTGCAGACTCTGGTGCTGGGGACCCCACGTGCAGAGGTGTGTGTCCACCCCCTGGCTAATGCTGCGGGAGATGAGGAGGCCAGCAGTGTGATTTTGCTCCCAGGCTGGGGTCTTGTTCTTTTGTTGTTTCTGTTTCTCTGAAACTCTTTAAAACACACCTGAAGTTGGAGCTTCTTTCCTGGAGGGAATTGAAAAGATGCTGTGGGAAGGCCCCAGGGGTCCAAGAGTGGACTGTCTTTGGTGCTGGCCCAGAAGGTGGTGGGAGGACGAGACCCTGTTGAGCATGGTACCATGTCCTGCACTGTAGTTGCACCTGTCAAGTCAGAACCTCTTGGGAAAGGTGACTGAGGATTAAAAAAAAAACAAAAACCCAAATCCTGGGAAACTCCGCATGGGCTTTGACGGGCATGTCCTGTTTAAAACCCATGGATACATGCCATGTCCATAGCATCACACCATGGTTCTTGGGGATTAAAGTAACCAATGAAGGAAACGTGCCCAGGGACTCCCTCCAGATATCCATGGTGCTCCCTGTCCTGTCAGCACCTGCAGGCAGCCCCTTCCTCTGGGAAGCTGTCTCTGGGAGGGGGTGGAAGACGGGTTGTAAACGAGGGGCAGCAGCACATGACATCTCCCTTGGGTGGTTGGAACACAGGCCTGTGTAGCAGTGGAGGGGCCTGGGTGAGGAGGAGGCCTCGGGCTCAGGGCCCAAGCATCCTGGCTTCCATGGCAGTGTCCCTGGCAAGTGGACTGGGCATCGGGCACTAGAAGTGTGACCTTGATGAGTTAGGCATTGAGCTCTCTGAGCCTCAGTTTCCTCCACTGGAAAATGGGTTGGATGAGCATCCAGCTCCTAGGGCTGTGCTGCAAGTTCAAGGCAATTGCACCAGGGAAAGAGTCACGCATTTAAGGGCTCAGACAAGGTGGTTTCCCTTCAGCACCTTCCTTCCTCCTCTGAAAAGAGTTGTCTCAAGCAACTGCGTGGAGTTTTTTTCCACCACTGTGAAGTCCGTGGAAATCCTCTCCCCTTTCTCTTCTTCCTCTTTCTGACCGCTCATGTGAGGGGGACCCACGTCTGAGGCTGGGTTCCCAGCCAGGGGCCACAGGATGGAGCTATTCACATTGTTGGTTCCAGCATCTTTCTCTCCCAGGAAGGGCATGGGGGCAGGGCTTATAGTGGCCTCCTATCACTTCACTTTGCAGGACACCTTGCAGGACACCTTGCTGCACATGTTCACTTTTCCCTGGCTGTCTGGGGCTCACTGGGAGTGTGCAGCTGGCTTTTCCTCCTGGGTGGGATTTAGTGATGACGAAGCGGCCAGTTGCTGAGTGCTATTGTTAGTTGAGACTCTTTTGGTTTCAGGTGACAGGAATCCAACTTGAATGAGCTTAAGCAAAAATGGGATACCTTGGAAGGTTCTAGGGGAGACTCAGACTCAAAGGAAATGCTGCAGAATCCAGCACCAGGAAGAGAACAGGTGACCTCTGGCATCCCCTGCTCAGTGGCCCATGGCTGCAGGCAGCTCCCAGCTGGCCCCAACTGCCCTCCACCCATTCCAAGAGGACCAGGCCTTCCCCAGGTTTTCAGATTAGAACCTGGCCCAACTGGGACCTGGTGCATACCTTTCGTACTCAAGATCATAGCCAAGAAGGAGAGATCCTCGGATGAACCTATCTTGAGTCCCATACCTACCTTTTTGGCTGAGGAGTGGGAAATAGGGTGGAATCTGTATTGGAACAAAGGGAGAAGGATGCTTGCAATATTAATAATTAAGAATAGTGCTAAGTCACTAGTATGGAGTGCTTACTTACTTTGTGCCAGGCATTATTCTCAGGTCTTTACCTACATAACTCATTTAGTCTTCACAATCAATCCCATGTTCTATACTGGGGAGCTGAGGCACAAAGAGATGAAGCAACCTGCCTGAGGTCACACAACGGGCTAGTAGGAGAGCTGGGGTTGCACCCAAGCAGGGGACCCCACATGTGCTCTTCTCTGTCCGCTCTAGTGCAGACAGTCACAACCCATGTCCTCTCTGTCTCCATGAACGACACACACGGGCTGCATCCTGAACCGCAGTAACTTGCTTCATCTTCAGAACAAGCCTGTGGAGTAGGTATCAACATTTGTCCCATTTTTACATCAGAAGCTGAGGCTCGCAGAAATTACATGACTCCTCCGGGGCCATCTGACTAATTTCAAGTGGCAGAGCTGGAGTAGGAAGCCAGGTTTGCCTGATTCCAGGGCCTGAGCCCATGACCACTTCACCGGGCAGCCTTTACGTTCAGACGCTTCTCTGGCTCTAGCAGATGCTCACCTGGTCCCTGGGATGAAGAGGAGACCTGGGTCAGCCTCTGAGCCTTCCTTGTCTGTCTGGGGGGCTGGGGGTGCGGTGTGGACACCTTGGCACACACTGCTGAGGGGCCAGTTTTGTGGTTCTGAGCCAGTCTTGGTGTGTCTCGTGCTAATTTATACCAAAGGGTTCTTGAATAAGCCTTAAGTGCATCTGACCTCTGGAGTTCTTCAGTCCTTCATTCAGCAAATACTGATGGAGCATCTAGTGGGTGGCAGGCCCTGTTCCAAGCGCTTGGGGTCCCTCAGTGAAGACCCGGAGTCTGTGGGGCTCGGCTGGGAGCACAGCAGAGAGAAAGGCCCCCTGAGATACCCTCATGGCCCTCGAGATCATGAACCGACTCAACCACACAGGAAATCTTTCCTGAACCACCCAAGTCAGGTGCACAGGGGCCTGGAGACTTGGTGCTTCTTTGCTTGGGACTGGCAAGGTGGCGAATCTGAGAGGAGACATTATTTCTTCATTCTCTTACAAAGGGAAACATTGTGTCAAGGAGCACACACGAGTGTGGCGTCAGGCCAGCTCCGCTGTGCGTCCCAGGCGCTGTGGCCAGGTGAGGTGCTTGCTGGGCCGTGCCTCAGTCCCCCTCCCCGCAAGCTCCCCATCACATGGCTGTACCACCTGCCTCCTAGAGTTACTGGGAGGATTGTCTGTGCTAGCACATGCTAACTACCCACCACCATGCCTGGCCATGGTTTAATCCTTTCAATTCTTCTTTTTAACTACTGACAAGCTTTGTAGGTGTCGCTTTAAGTCAGAGCCCTTAGAGGGGAGCAGCTAGAAGGGGTCTTTAGTGAGGAAATCACCAATTAGGCCAAACTTCTCATTTTATAGATAAGGAAACTGAGGCCCCTCGAGGGGAAGGGAGGTACTGGGCCCTAGGACCTTCTGGTTTAGTGGAGTACAGGGGAGTCTGAAGTACATTTAGCTGTTGGTCAGACAGAAGGTTTGAGTTGGTCCTTGGAGTAGCTGGATCACAGTGTGTCCAGATCTCTATGGGAATCTGACCAATGGTCAGCCCTTACAGACTGGTCCGGAAATGCCCACCTGCATCCCACTGTGCTGTCAGTCCAGTGTGCTTCCTTTGAGAAGCCCAGGGGCAGAGAAGGAGTCCTCCAACTCTTCTGAGCCTACAGCTCAGGCTGATAGAATGTGGGTGAGGCAGGCCAGCTTGTTTGTCGGCTGCCATGGGCCTGAGAGGTGTGGCTTGATAATGATGATCATGATGGGGATGATTGGAACTTCTGCCCAAGTGGCTGCATTCGGAGCCCACCAGGCTGTTTGCAGGCTGTTTGGACCTGCCACAGCTGTGCTAGGACCCCTCTCACCTCGGTGTGGTGGGAAAGCCCATGAGCACTGGGTCAGCCAGCCCTGGGCTTGAATCCTGCTGTGCCTTGAAGCTGTGGCAGGTGCCTTCTGCTCTCCAGCCCTCTCTGTTCCTGTCTGTGAGGAGCCACTGGAACAGAACACATCTGGTCTACAGTGTGCCTTCCATGCTCAGTAAATAGTAGCTGCTCTCCCATTCATAGACTGAGAGTTCTGAAAGTGAGTTCAAGTCCTAGGCTGTAAACACAGTCCCTGGTGTATAGAGAGAATACACGTGTGGTTATGTGGGCAAGTCGGCCCACCGCCCTGCCGCACAAAGTATGCCTCTGTCCGTGGAGTATGCGTGTCACTTCTCATATATCTCAGATTTCTCCTCTGTGTTGACTTTTGTCCTGAGAGGCCACGTCTCAGAAGTTTGGAGGTGTGAAAGTAAATTCTTAGAAGTGCTTTAGAACGCTGGGCTCCATTTCCAAACAGGTGCAGGGCATTTTCTGCAGAAGCAGTAGGATATGACCAAACCATTTGGGTGGTCAAGGGAAGCCAAGATAGTAGTTTGTTTAGGAAACTCAGCCATGACCAGATGGTCTGCTTTTAGAACTTCCTAGTTTATTTAGTGTTTTGGACCCTTTCCACCTCGGGAAATATGGCAGATTTCACATTGGTGACTTATTACCATGTTTTTATACCAGCTTGACTTACTTTCAACATGTTTTCACCTTAGAAAGTCTGGCACTTTCTGTTTCTACCAGAGCAGCTACTGAAGTAATCTTTTCCAGACCCGTCTGACTTTCTCTGTAAACTCTTGTGTAGTGATGTGATAAACCCTAGGGTGCCCGTGCAGCGACACAGTGGGATTTGTTTAAGCACCTAGCAGTCCCTTTCTTCACATGCAAAACTTGGAGCACAGAGAGAAACGCTCTGTGCATTTCCTCTTGTTGGGTAGTGTTTCTATGGGGTAAAGTCCACAGCCTGTGGGACCTCGTGGCAGGGAGAAGATGGGAGGCTGTATGTAAGATAATGTAACTGACATTCATTGCTGGGCTCTTGTTTTTAAGGGAACGTGGCAACCTGTGCATGGCTCATCCCACAAGGAGAGGCCTTTGGAGTCACTGTGATGCCTAAGAATCAAGTAAGTCTCTTTTGTGCCGTCGAGTCGTACTTGAGGAGCTGGCTTCAGGCTTTGGAAAGTGTAGGGGCACTTGCCCTCTTTCTTTAAGCCCAAGTGAATGTGAGCCCGTTTGGAGAGACACTGGTGGGTGAAGGCCTCCCTTGCCCTCCTCAGACACCACGGCCGGTCACACGGCGGTCCGTGCTGTCAGAGGAGGGAGGGAAGCAGGGGTTGAGACTGACATGTGTCTGGGACCTACACCAGTGGTCTCAGGTGGGCAGACTCTCTGTCCCTTGTCCCCTTAGTAAGAGCAGCAGCTCAGCTGTCCCGACTCCAGTCCCAGCCCCTATGGTATTTCCGTCTCCGGCTGGCCCAGATCCAGGCCAGGGCGAGAATCTGGCTGGGCAGCTTCTGGAGGAAGGGACTGCAGAGCACTGCACCGTGTGTCCAAGATTTGAAAATGTGATTCCAGCATCTTCCTCTGCTTTGGTCTCCTCTTCTGAGGAGAGCAGAGCTGTTCACCTCTGTCTGTAGATTCAGCAAGTCCATAGAGGCTTGGGGGCTGGGCGGCTGGGTATGGACAGTAATCGATAATGACTTGTTGGCATAATCGCCCTCAGGAACTGTTGTGGGAGCCCCCACCACTCTCCCCAGCTCCACTCTGTTCCCCTTCTCTGTCCTTTCTGGAAGACAGTCTGACCATCACTCCACTGGTAGCCTTCAGGGCCCCCTCCTGTTAGACCTCAGCCTCACTTTGTAGCCTCATTTTCTGCCTCTCTCATTAGCCCTGGCTTTAGTCCCACAACTCCTGGAACAGATGTCCACGCCGGGGACATGCCATTCCTTCTAGAAGCTTCCTTCCCTTCTCCAGACAGAGTTGACACCTCCTCCTCCTCTACACTCCCATAGCCCTTTGTTAGGATGCCAGATACATGACTGGCTGAGTTAAGGTTTGTCGCTTGTTTGTCTCACTCCTTAGCTGTGGGAGCCTTGAGGTGGACCCGTTGTCCAGCCTTCCTGTCTGAGCCAGGCAGCACCATGCTGGAGGCACAGTATTAAGCACGTGGCAGGGGGTTAGCAGCTGTTTGTTGACTGAGGGAGTTCAAACCCCAAGATTTCTTCAGGGCTTTGTGGCCCATGAAGCTCTATGGCAGTGTCTGCTGGGAACCCCACTCCCTGGGAGGGGCGGTCCTATCATCCTCACTTATTCTATAGACATGGAGACTGAGGTCTGGGCAGTCAGCTAACTTGCCCCCCAGCAGCAGCTCCTAAGGACCAGGACACATGTCTCCTATGGCCAGGCTAGTCTGGTTTCTATAATATCAAATTTTATAATTAGAACCCAAGAGATTATTTTGTACAAACCCCTTATTACCAGATAGGGAAACTGAGGCCTGGCCTGAAGATATTTTCTCAAGGTTACCTGCCTAATTGGTGCCAAATGGAGAATTGGAATGGGGCCCTGGACTTCCAGTCTAGCATCCTTTCTCTCCTCCTCCTTCCTCTTCTGCCTCCCTTCTTTGTATAGACATCAGAGAACATTTTGGGACCATCATTCTATATTTATAGGAGGGTGAAGGACTTATAGAATGCCCTGAGTCAGAGGGAACATGGAGATGAATAGAACCGGCCCTGCCTCTAGGAGCTTCCCTGGAGGTGTGAGACCAGGGCAGGTCCTGGTGGAGGGGAGAGTGGAGGAGGGGAGAGGAGGGAAGAGCATCAGTGCCTAACCCAGGGCTGGAGCAGGGTGGAAGTCCCCATGGAGGGGCAGCAGGCAATCAGCTCTCTCATTTAGAAGCTGCCCTGGTGGGCACTGAGGATCTTCGGGAGGTGAGATCCTGAATGGCAGGCTAGGGAGGGGTTGGCTGGACCCGGGGAGAAGCTACTGCAAGAATTTTGATTCTTAGTGTCTGGGCAAAGAGGTCCTGATCAGCCTGTCTGCTATGGCCTGAGAATCCTCTCTCTTTCCTGGAGAAACACAGAATATAGAATGTGTCCACAGAAGAGGGTCAGGCAATGGGCAACGAGTCCCATCATTGTCTGAAATGTATACGGGAAGGTATGTGTGTGCTGGCTCATCTCTGTTGTGCTCCTATGGAGTTTTGTTTTGTTTCTGATTGACCACAGTTCCAGCTGGTCTTTTCCTGTCTATCAATCATAAGGCTTTGCTGGGTGTTTCATTCACCCAGGCTTGATACAGGGCCAGGTAGGTCCTGGCTCCTCTGTTTTCACTCTGCCCCTTCTTGCAACTTCTAGGGCTTCCAGACAGGAAGACAGGGACTGACCACAGGCTCCATCTCTATTAGCAGGTTGAAACATAACCTTTGCCCAAATTACAGGGGATGTGATGTTTGCCAAATATGTACCTTGGATTATTTTCCAAAGATAGCCAGGTTATAAACTTCTTGAGGGCAGGAGAAGCATGCAGTGTTATATCATTGTTGTTTATCCCTTAGGTTTACATTGCACTTTACATTTTATAAAGATCATTTCATCTTTATAATAAGCAGGCGGATTCCTTCCCATTTCACAGATGAGAAAATTAACTTAAATTTTTACCCTGCCCAGGGTAGTATAGCCGCCTAAGGGCTGAGCTGGGACACAGCCCAGGCCTCCTGTTTATAAATCTCATGATCTTTAGACTCTGCTAAGCTCCAGCCATATGTAAATCCTTGGAGGGCATAGGACTTCAGAGGAGCTCAATAAATATTTGTTGAATGTGTGAACTTTGGCTATTTGGAGGGGCGGGGGGAGCACTCTTAGCCATAAATGGATCCTCTTTGGCAGCAAAGGGAACACTACCCTGTGAAGTATTTGCATTTCTTGCTACGATAAGGAGCTGGTAAGTTCTCTTCTCACCTAGCCGCACCTCCGGGAACTGGGTCATGCACACTGAATAATTAATTCCTTGAATCTCTTACTCTGAGCATCCTTCTGATGCTGAGGTGATCGTTCGTCTTTGAAAGGTTCTGGGCAGAGGCAAATCCTATTGTTTGGTGTCAAAAACACTCAGATGACCCATCTAAATTCCTCATGATGACTATTCTTGGCCTAATTAGGTCAGACTTCCAGTGAGTTAGTTCAGTCTGCCCCCTTTCCCCACCAACCTCCTTTAGCCCAAGGAAGAGGGATCCTTGTGATTATCTTAGATATTCTGTAGGGACAGGAAGGCCCACCCCTCCCTTCTCACTGACCTTTGAACTCCTCAAGATTTTGCAGCGAGGGCTGGAAAAAGAACAATTAGACCTGTCAGCTTGGGAAGGAACGCATGGGGTCAGGGAGACAGTTATCAAAATGTCTTCCGGGCCTGCTCTTCCCCTAAGTGGCGCTTGGGTCATGTTTCTTAGAGTCTGCAGGGGATCCAGCTGGCTTCATGAGAGTAACCTAACTAGGTCTTGAGGTCAACGGAGTAGAGTGGAAAGAAGTGTGGGCTGAGGCCAAAGACCCACATTCTAGTATTGATTGTCTACAGCGTAGCTGCAAGGCCTTGGGCCACTCACAGAACTTCACCTGCCCTCCGATTTCTCAAGGAAATAAGGGAGGTGTAGAGGGTTAGGTAGCATCTCAAGGAGCTTCCTAAAATTCTGTAACTTTTCAGTGCTCTATCTGTCCTCATGATTCGCACTGCCTTCTCCAGGTCACCTCCTCCTCATGTAGCTGGAGCTTACTTCTCTAGGCACTTTTCTCCTGGCCTTTGTAACCTTGCTACCTCTCTCCCCTGCCCAACCCTGGGACATGCCAGAGTACAGATGAGAACTGCCTCCTGCAGCCCTAGTCTCTTGCCAAGCAGCATGGGGGAAAGTCTAATGTTTTGCTAGAGAGTTGGGAACCTAGGGGGTGTAGGTGGTATTGGAGGGGAGTGAGGAAAATCTTTGAGTGAGAAGAAGCCAACCCAGATGACCAGGGGTTGTTGGGATAGCCAAGCTCTCAATGCCACATGTTTTCTGGAGTTGAGTTGTTGAGTCGTTTGACCAGAGAGAGTAGATATGTTATGAAGAATATGGCCCCAAGCCTCTCCTCTTTTTGCCTGGCCAGGCTCTGCCCTCAGGAGTGACCACTCTGGAGCAATAAAGGTCATAGGGTTGGTAGAAGTCTGCTCAGTGGGAGCTACGAGAGCTCTCAGACAAATAACTAACACACAAAGGGGAAGGTCTGAGAAAGGTGGGTTTGCCTCTAAGATCAATGATCATAGGGTGTCAAAGCTGGGAAGAATCTACAGATCATCTAATCCAACTCTTCGATTTTTATGGGTAAAGAAACTGAGGCCCAGAGACATGACTTAACAAGACCCATGAAGCAAGGGAGGGGTAGAACTGAGATGAAGGCCAGGTCTCCTGATTCCCAACCTCAGGAATCCAAAACATCCTCTGAAGTGGCTTTTCTCCCAGTGCCATGTTGCCTCCTCACGTGGGTCCAGCGACCACACTTCCCATGTCTCTCTGACCCTGAGCAAGATTGTCTCACGTGTTAGCAGGGCCCTCTGCTGCCACCTCATTGTTTATCGGGGCCTAATAAAACCCCCGGGTGCAACCGCATGGAGAGGAGGGGGCTTCTTCTCATGCTGGGGCTGTTGGGCTTGCGCTTAGTGCCTTACCACGGCTGGGTCGGCATTCTTCTGTTTTATGGTGTGTTTGGGGGTGAAATGTTAACCGAAGACAGGAAATGAAGGCTCTGATGGCCCAGCCTCGACAGGAGTGGCCTCTTTTGGGTTGGTCATTCAGATAAAAATCACCTTTGTTGCTAAGCAGGCCTGTTCTGAGAATCCCAAGCTAAAGATGTGGGTTGAGTGCGCCCTGCGCCGTCTCTTACCCCAAGAGAGGCCACTTTGGGTGGGAGGCTGGCCTCCTTATCACGGTGTTAATGGCACGTGAACCAGGGCGGGAGCCATTCACTTTTTTTAAATAGCACTCCATTTGGCTGAGCTTTTCCTACTGAGCTCCAGTAAATGAGTGGGCACTAGGTGACACCTATGACCTTGTCAGTCCCTCACAGCAGCCCCCAGAGAGGTGACATGATTCCTG